TTAGGGAAGCTATGTAGTATCAAAGAGCAGTATCAGAATCATTATGGCATTTGGGTCATATAAGTGACAATGAGTTATTTGTTTTGAGCAGACAAAATTTGTTGAATGGATATAAAGAAGAAGTTTTGGGTTTCTGTGAACACTGTGCGTTTGTAAGCAAACTAGAGTGAAGTTCAACAAAAATGCAGTGCACAATACCAGAGGTAAGTTGGATTATGTTCATTCTGACTTATGAAGTCCATACAGAGTTTTCTCCAAGAGTGGTGTAAGGTACTTTATGACATTGATTGATGATTACTTTATGAATGTATGAGTATATTTTCTAAAATCCAAGGAAGATGCATTTTTAACATTTGTCAGATAGAAGACCATGATTGAGAAGACGATAGAGAGGAAGATCAAGTGTCATAGAACTGATAATGGGTTAGAATTTTACAATCATGAGTTTGATGATTTCTATAATAAGGAAGACATAGTAAGACATCACACTTATGTTGGGACACCACAATAAAATGTTATTGCAGAATGCATGAATAAAATGCTTTATGTTAGGGCATGAAATATGTTGTCTCATTTAGGCGTGAGACAGGAATTTTGGGCTGAAGCTGTGAATACTGCTAGTTTCTTAGTTAATAAATCTTCATCCACAGCTATTGAGAGTAAGACTCCTTTTGAGATATAGTATGAGTCACATGCTGATTACTCTCAGTTGAGAGTATTTGATTGTCCTGCTTATACTCATGTTAGGGATGGTAAGCTTGAGCCGATGGCAAAAAAATGCATATTTATAGGGTATGCATCTGGAGTGAAAGGCCACAGGTTGTGGTGTAGTGATTCCAAGTCTCCAAGGTTGATTATTAGTAAAGATGCAACATTTAATGAGTCTGCTTCATTAGATAGTTAGAAAAAGAAGACAATAGTAGAATCAGATCACGGTGTCAGAGAACAAACAAAGTTAGAAGTTCAGTCAAATGGTCTAGAGAATGAAGTGCATGATCTTTATCAAGAAGGTGATAGTGCACCTGATTAACAATAACCATATAGTATTGCAACAAGCAGGGAGATAAGACAAATTAGACGACCACAGAAATATAAGAATCTGTTTGCATATAATTTGTCAATTGTAGAACCAGTTGATTTGTAGGAACTAGGAAGTTCGGATGTTGATAAGATGATTGGTGTTGTGTGAAGAACTTGATGTTAGATGTCACTTTGTTCAGGGATCAGATAGCAAGTTTAGGTGCGGCTTAAACTTGGTTGGAGTATGCTCAATAGTGCCCCAATGGGGGCATGTTGGCTAAACGATGCGATAAAATGTTAGCTATTTTGATGATAGAGGAAATTCAAGCCAAAAGGAAGATTTGTTGATGTGTCTTGAATTTTGACGATATTTATCTATATTTTGGGGATAATTAATTTGATTTTTTTTTTATTTATCGTGAGAAATATTTGATGTATATACTATAGAATTTTTATTTGTCAAGAATCCTGCTAGTCTTTGTATAAATAAATTTACTAATTTATTGGTGATATACTTTCAGATTATATTGTAACGGCCCCGGAAATTTAAATGAAGATGTATGTATTAAAAATTCTTAGTGGGGAAGCGAAATAAAAATTCTGATTTACATTCCTTACATAATAACCATAAACATATTCAGCGTGCGAAAGAATAAGCTAATTAAAAAAAATACTCGAAATAAAAACTATAAATAGAACTATAAAATTTTTAGGCGTTTAACTCGCCGTCTTCCTGCGGAACGGGCTCGGGAACTACGTCTTCCTAATCTGAAATGGTTAAGGAATGAGCTATACTAGCCCAGTAAAGACATCACACTATCTCACTGTCACAGAAGTAAAAGTTGGTAGAAAACAAAAACGACCAATGGAGCATAATTTATAACAAACTTATTTATTAATAATAAAAACCTTTACTGTCTACTTATCTCGGTGAGATTCATGAAAATAACATATGAGAACAATAACATTATAACCATCATAAAATTATATACACTTTGTAATGTAACACATGTTATACTTTTGCACCTCAATAATCAGACAACAACTAGTATCCATGGGGATCCATAGGGGGTCCCCGCTATACGTGAACTATTAACATTAAGAACTTAATTCCAGGGCCGTCCCCATACCCCGTCCGGTATGGGCGCCTAAAAACCATGAACCTCAATACCCCGTCCAGTATGAGGGTGAAACGGGCCGTCCCCAATACCCCGTTCGGTATGGGCGCCAAAACCATAAACCTCAATACTCCGTCCGGTATGAGAATGAAACGGGTCGTTCCCATACCCCGTCCGGTATGGGCGCTAAAATACATAAGGTCTCCATACCCCGTCCGACATGAGAGACCACATTCCCGGTAGGGTTCCCTATGGACTCAGTCCGTCCACCATCTCCCAGGATATCTTGTCAGGCTGTCCACATTATCCATTTATCAATTCACATAACCATTTTCCATTTTCCTTGGTCTCAATTATCAAATCAAACATAAACACGTAAACCAGTAATGAACACCAAACAAACAACACAACATCGGGTTCACCATAATTCAAACCATAATAAAAGAAGCCATGATTCATGCATACGAAATCATAAAATAAATACATCAAATACCATACTACATTTAAAGCTGAAAAATAGATCAAACAACAACTGACCGAAAAAATACATCAGATTCAGGCTCCATTAGTAACCTTAATTAATTATACACATGTATTAATTCATGAAATATCGTTTTATTATTTATTGAG